GCCCGCCCACAGGCCGTGCTGAGAATACCACATCCACCCGCGGCACCCGGACGTTTTTGTCTCGGCTGGCCTGGGGACGCCACCCAAAAATCTGGGCCTTTTGCTGTTTGTTTTAGGGAAGTGGTTTGGCCAAGCCGGGGGCCCAGGCGTGCTGCGATTGCCCCTTTGGAGAAAAGCGGGGGGAGGGGAAAGGGGAACAGATTAAACTGCAAAATGCAAAAAAGTTGGGCTCTCATTGTGAAGGAAATGAGAGTTCGGTCCCCCTTCGGAATCCGAAAAGGGGTTGGTTGGGCCTCCAAGCGATGCATTTCAGCCTTCTCCGGGTGGGAGACGGGAACACGTCTCCTGCATGACGCCCCCAAAATCGGGGCCCTCACAATTCCCCTTTTCCAAACAAAAACACAATTTGCAGCAGGAGTGGGGGGGGGCTGGAGCATGCCCACCTCAACCACCAGCTGCAGAAATGCCCCTGTCAACACCGTGCCCAACTCTGGGGCTATTCAAACCTGGTCTTCTCGTCTCCTGATTTTTTTCAGCTTTTTACTGGACTCTCGGGGAGCTTGAATAATTCTTGCCAATTTCTCCCAGAGGCGTTTCCAGCTGACGTCTGAGTTTCCTGGTCCTCAAGGTTCACCCCCCTGCAGCTTCCTTGTCTTGAAGGCCACCTTCTGTTGAGAAGTGACTCCATGTCCTCCTTCAGGCTATAATGTCAGGATGCCAGGAAGATGGGAGATTTCACACAGCCATGTCTTTCACCAGATTTATTTTAGTTATTTATTTTTGCATTTATATGCCACCCATCTCCCCCAGGGGGTGATCCTGGGTGGCTTACCATTAAAAACCAAGACAATAAGAATAAAAATATAAATACCCCCCGGCTAAAACACGAATAGCGAATCTATAAAAGCAATATACAAATCAAGAAGATGGGGGAAGCAGTATCAGTGATGCGTTGTAGGCCAAAACTACAATTTAAGTTTTTCAGATGGTTGCCCGCTCTGGTGTGCCACTTCCAGTGTGCTGCCTCAACTCCCAGAATTCTCAGCCGTGGCCACGCTGGCTAGGGAATGCTGGGAGTTGAAGTCCACCTGTCTGGAAGTTGCCCAGATCTGCAGGTCTTTATGGATACAGCGAATGAGACGGTGGCTGTTCTTGTGCCATTTATGAGAAAGAAGGAAGAATCTCAGCTTCCTTTTCCAAAGATCTCTCTAGAATTCTTTACCTATGAAAGTCAGAAAATAACCTGGTTTGTTCAGGAGGAATGGATGAATCTAAGAAGGCAGACACGAAGGAAATGTCTCCCACGTTGATCGTGTCTTTATGCTAAGATCTGTATGGTAGCAATCAGTGGTAAAACTTTCGTACATTCTCCCAAATGCTTGCTACCCAGGGTCAAAATGGATGCATGAACCATCTTCCAACTTTTCTGGTTTGCGGCTGGGCAACATGCAAAAAGGACTGATTTTTCTGGATTTTCTGGAACAAATCCGGGTTCGGGTAACGGGCTAAGTCAGACCCCCATAAAATTAATCCTTTAATTTTGCACGGAGCCACCGCTGCTCACGAGCCATGGCTAAGCGTGTTTTGTGAACCCGGCCGAAACAGCGGATGGCAACCATGCCCTCAAAGCCGCCATCTTGATCTTTTTGACCTCCTGGCCACTTCGAAAGCGCCTCGGGCGACATCGGCCCCTGCAAAGAAAGGCAAACCCGGCCGATCTCCCTTCCTGCAACGAGGAATCTCGGCGTTGGGCAGCATCAGCTCCGTCTCTCCCGCGGGGACGAGCCGAGTATTTGGACCCCAGGGCGCAACGGCCGTGGGAAAGTCCCCAGACCGGCCTTTCTCCAACGATACCGGCCGGGCGTGCAACGGGGCGCACCGCCCCATTCCACGCGCACGTCGGGGGGACCGGACGGATGGCGAGCAGCAGGAGCAGCAGGAGGCGGCTGCGCTCCACCCTCGCCAGAGGCGGCTC